GCTGCACCACAGTCCAGTGCCGTTTTCAATACATGCTCCGCGTGCGGATCATGTATTACAAATGCAGGGATTTAGTATTAGATACAACGATGAGTGCATGCATAATCTTTTTCATAAACTAACCATGTATTAAAAATCGGATATTCTTAATTCTATGTATTAAAAACGGCACTGTAATGTGAAGGCCTCGCGGCCGGTGCCGCCGACCCCACAGGGAGACGACGACGACGCTTCCAGGAGGAGGGGGCCCAGGCTCATACCTCAGGTCTCCGGCGAGGTTTTTTCCCGGAAAGGGCGTAGGCCCAGGGTTCTCTTCTAGTATGTAAACAATGTCCCCGTGCCCAACTTGAAGGAGGCCGGCGGATTCTTTCCCTGATAAATATCGAGGTCGAAGGAGGCCGGCGGATTAAAATTTGAGGATGTCTCAGGCGAAACGCTTGTTTTTGAAATCCCGATCGATAAATCACAGGGTGCGGGACACCTCAGCACGACCACACCCCAGCACGACCACACCCCAGCACGACCACGCCCCAGCACGACCACACCCCAGCACGACCCCACCCCAGCACGACCCCACCCCAGCACGACCACGCCCCAGCACGACCACACCCCAGCACGACCACACCCCAGCACGACCACACCCCAGCACGACCCGATCGATAAATCACAGGGTGCGGACCACCCCAGCACGACCACACCCCAGCACGACCCCACCCCAGCACGACCCCACCCCAGCACGACCACGCCCCAGCACGACCACACCCCAGCACGACCACACCCCAGCACGACCACACCCCAGCACGACCCCACCCCAGCACGACCCCACCCCAGCACGACCACACCCCAGCACGACCACACCCCAGCACCCCACCCCAGCACGACCCCACCCCAGCACGACCACACCCCAGCACGACCACACCCCAGCACGACCCACCACAGCACGACCACACCCCAGCACGACCACGCCCCAGCACGACCACGCCCCAGCACGACCACGCCCCAGCACGACCACCCCCCAGCACGACCACCCCCCCAGCACGACCACCCCCCAGCACGACCACCCCCCAGCACGACCACACCCCAGCACGACCACTCCCCAGCACGACCACACCGCCTTGGTTGAGTGGTTGCCTGTCGTCGTGGAATGTTTCGTGGGGTGTCTCGTGGAATGTTTCGCGGGGTGTCTCGTGGAATGTTTCGTGAGGTGTCTCGTGTAATGTCTCGTGAGGTGTCTCGTGGGATGCTTCGTGAGGTGTCTCGTGGGATGTTTCGTGAGGTGATGCCCACTTGGGTATCGTGAAAACGTGTCCATGCTCCACATGTCTATATCCCTTTCGGGGTTCGTGGGTCCATCATGTTTCCCTACATCCTGGGATGGCTTCTTGTTGCTACTGTGGCGCCTCCGCCTTCTCTTCCCCTCCTGTCCTTCTCCCACCCCCTCATCTCCTCTCCGTGACGTTGCTATCGTATTCAGTTCACTCATACTCAGATTCATTCACACGAAGACTCACTCATGCTCGGAGTCACTCGCACTCAGATTTACTCATACTCATACTATTACCCCTTCCTCCTGGCCAACTGATAACACTTTCCGCACCGTGGAAGCGTAACCTCGGCACCATGGTGGGAGGGAAGGGGGATGACTACTGCTACTACCACTACTACTACCACCACTTCTACTCTTCCTCCTCCTACTACTATTCTTATTGTTACTACTACTACTACTACTACTCCTACTACTACTACTACTACTACTACTACTACTACTACTGATACGACTATTACTACTTCTACTACTACTACTACTACTACTACTACTACTACTACTACTACTACTACTACTACTACTACTAGTACTACTACTACTACCACTACTACTACTACTGCTATTATTAGTACTCCTGCTACTACTACTACTACTACTACTACTACTACTACTACTACTACTACTACTGCTGCTGCTACTACTACTACTACTACTACTACGACTACAACTACGATTACTACTATCTA